CTTTTGTGACTGGAGGTAAAAAACCATTGTTTAACTGAAGAAAATCCATAGCCTCTTGTGCGCGAGTTGGTCCACAATAGCTTGTATCTGTACATCTTTTAATATCAAGAGAATATTGACACAGGTTACAATGATCTTCAATCCATGACCACAGCACAAAACATTCTGGTGAGTCATTTCCATTTTCTTGTTATTTTTTTTTTGTTGTTTTCGTACTCCCGCCTTTTCTTTTTCTTTTTCTGTACCTCCAAACTCCAGGTTTTCAAACGGATTGGCAAGTTTTTCGACATATTGTGCATTTACGCTTCTTCCAAAAATCAAATCGCGACGTCAAATATCACAAAGCACCTCTCTAGCATATCGAAAGTTTTGAAGAGCCAATTCAGGATTAATCACTTTACTTTGTGTATCTAGATGCGTCCCAAAGTGATCGATTGGTAGAGTAATACCTGCTAATTTTCCGGATAGTGTTGCCATTATCCTTTCAACAGGATTATACTTGGATTGTCCTGATGCGTGTGTCCGCATAGTGAGGTAATCTAAATCAAATTTTCGAAAAAGCTGAATGTATTTTTTAATATTCTTTAAATGTCTTGGATTCTCATCCGGTCCCCCATCCACTAATAATATCCAGATAGGTTGAATTTCTCCGTCAGCCTTCAACGTATCATCATATTGAGGATCTAGAATGAGGCTTTCGAGGTCTTGCATATGCGTGAGTGAAGAAATTCCAAGAGACCATTGATGACGTACAAAAATGGCAAGTTGTCCCGTTCTCAAGTCATCATTTAATTCATTCGGTTTGATCATAAGGTAAATTGATGGAATTAACTTTTGCCTATATCCTGCAGGAAAGTCATGATCGGCTACACGAACAGGCTCGTAAACTGACTGTAATGTGCGGAATATCCGGCTTACAGCCAGTATCCCAAAACCTATCTTTGCCTTGTTATCTTGAGAAATGACAACAGATTTATCGGCAAAAATGGTGGCAAATTGCCTTGCACATTTAACAGATGTAAGACAGTAGTGACCATCAGATAGTCCCGTGTTTCAGTACGTAAAACTCCAGCCACTACGACCCAAGCCGGATGATGATGCGCTTTTGCAGCAATGGAATTGGATTGACAAGGCAACAGGTAATTATTCAATGTTGTTCGTGTCATGTATACATTGTAGTTCTCTTCAAGATTCTTGTGTAAATTTTCGATAATTCACACCTTAACAACTTCTTTCCTTCGTTTTTCATCAGCTGCTCCAAATTCGATTGAATCATGAATATGATCATGTAAAT